GGATACAAAATAAAATAAAAATGCCTAAACTGAATGTAGTCTTTAAACCCAAGATAAATTAATGGGATTAAGGTACCTTGAAATCAATGGTATATAAATCAAGAATTTTTCACACTGACTTCAATAGGACATAAGTTTAACTGTCAGTTTTGTGTCATTCAGTAAAAAATAGTTCTTGTTAATCTTAGAAATAGAACTTAGTCTGGCCACTATTTTCTCATGGATGGTGTTTCCTTTTAATAGTTTAGGGTCAGAGCCCTTTAGCAGGTTCTAACTGCAAAGAGTAGATTCCCCAGGTCTTGTGATGTCCTGATTTACTAAGTCTCCAAAGCCTTTCCCATACCAGCGGGAGACCCCTGAGATCACTGCATGCAAACCCTGCACTGTAACAACTTCAATCCTTTTCCGACGGGCAACAATACTTTTTTTGTTATTAAAGGGTGATGATTACAGTGTATATATTCTAGCTACTTCCATGCAACAGTATTGTAAATAGAAGAAATATATTGGTGAAGATACAGCAAAGGCAAAGTGCAGTTCTAGGGCTGGAAAAGATGAAACTTTCAGTACCCATTGGGGATGGGACAAACTACTGGCAGGTTGGCTGTTGCTCCATTCTGACTACTCCCTAATATAGCCTATGTGCTTGCCAAGAAGCTTGGACATAACACAGTATGCACTGCAGTGTCAGAATAATCTATCACTGTTTCACTTTGCCCCAAAACATCTGACATAGTACATGCCTTCTTAGGCACCACATAGCAATTTTGTGCTCTCTGAAATCACTGGCATACAGTACTAACACTAATTTTAACACACTCATTGTCAGTCCAAGGATTACAATTTATAAACATGAAATTTGTTAATAATTTAAGTTGACTCCTTCAACACACTTTCAATAAACAACTAGATCAAATGTAAAATTACTATGAAAATAACAGGCAAAAGATTTCTTGACTTGGAACCAAAAAACATCAAAGCTGATGCCACCTATATACAGAGATCATCCCAAAGAAGGAAATCCCCTTTCTTTATCACCTATCTCATTTTAGCAGCCACAAAATCTAAAGAAGAAATTTTAGAATATTGAACTTCTTGGGTTTAGCTGGAGAAAGCATTGTTTCTCCCTGTGGATTCTAGTCATTTTGGGTTCCTGGAAGAAAGCCTGTTCAGAAACTCTCAATTGAAGTTCATTTTTTTTCTGCTAACTACAATTCCATATGACTAGGCTTGAAGAAAACAACCCAATTCAAAAACGATCATTTAACGTCCAGTCTTTTCACTAACTGCAATTACACATAATCAGAGTTTAAGAAAAATAGGAAGCAAAATTTCTGTGCTGCTCCACGCATCTAGGCTGGAATAAAAGTAGAGTATACAAACTCAGATAAAGTTTGTTCAGGTAATACTAAATCATAATCAAAACAAATACTGTTACAGTCTTTCCCTTTGTTTAAGTTCAAATCTTATGGTAAGCCATAATTATTTAACTATAATCTATTGGATAAGCCACAATACAATACAAAATGTATTATAAATACTGAAACCCACAGGATACCCATATACCTTTTCTAACTTAAAGTTCTTGACTATGCAAGAATAGATTAAGCTACGTGTCACAAAGACCAGAAAGTCAAGTTCTCTGGTTGAGTGTTTTTAGCAGGAGTGTCAGTATAAAAATACATACACAAATAAGAGTAATTTTTTAAAAAATCAAATTATTTCAACTCTTTCTTTGAGAAGAAGCTTTATGAACAATTATGGCTCCTCCTGGAGTTGTAGCCCTTTCCTTCCAGTTCTCATCCTTTTGAAATAAATATATTCTGATTTTTTTAAAAATACAGAGCACTTTCAGAGTTGTTGGTGCTGACTCTTCTACTGCTTGTACTAGATAGAACCAAAAACAAAAACAGGACCAATTTCCAGTGCACAAATTACAACAACAAAGATTCAGGCTTGTTTTCTTTTTTATCACATGATGTCAAATCTACTTATGACTCAGTTTTGCATGCATAAAAACAGAACAGTAATCTCAAACGGAAAAACATAAATACCCAAAAAAGTTCTTAAATCCGAACCTACATATTAAGCAAGGCCAGTTATTCTGCCTATGCCACCTGTGACATTTCTTATACCCCCTGACCCTCCCCCGAGAGAGAGCACATGGTCACTGTTCCATCTTCCTTCCCTGACTTTTTGGTTTACAAATCATCTCAGAGATGATCTCAGTTTCCCTGCTGATCTCATCCCCATTCTCTCTCCTGCCCACCTCTGACAACACTGTCCCTGCTCTTGCATTAGTGCATATATTCTGATTTGAATGCATCTGCATGTTTTTGTGACATTGCCATTTTCTATATATTTATAGCTGCATTGATCATCTCCACACTAAAATCATAATCAGAAGTAAAGGCAGTGGCCAAACATAAGGCCTGAGTGACAATAGGAATGATCTGGTATATACGAAATAACTCAGATACGTACTGAGAACCCCTGCTTGCATTCATGAATCAAATTTAAACTATAGAGTAGCTAGTGGTTAAAGCTTCTACTTATACCTTAATATGGAATCATTCGACATGATAAAAACAAGCAAACACATTTTAGAAAGTACTTAAAATTACAAAGAGCAACATTTATAGATTCAGCTGGATTTATACATAATCTCAGTCCCCAGAACTGGTGTCATGAGAAAAGTAGGAAGGGCTGGAGATGTTCTTCCATGGGAAGAACTGAACTTCAGGGAGCATAGGCAATCTAGGGTCTCCTGTAAAGCCCCAGGATGAGACCTTCAGACTGGAAAATTAATTTTCCCTATTACCATAAGCATGAGGAAAGATTTCCAGCAACAACAGCTACAAAAGAGTCCAACTTCAACCCACTTGCCTTGCTCTATGAAAGTCAATAGAACTTTGGAATTTCACTCCTATCCTAAACACGTTGCCTTAAACATATACCCCATTGAGATGTCACAAATTTAAATACAGATAAGCATTTTGTTTAAATTCTTTTGAGCAGGCTTTAATTCTAAACCATCTTCTCTTGTGTTTCTATAATGTTCTAATGGTTTTGTAAAGAAAAATTACAAAAACATGCATTTCCTGGGATTTCTCATAAACAAGAAATGGAAAACTTCAGAATGTAGGCATAAACTATTGTATTTTATATGCTGTTCTCCCTTAAAAAAAAGAGGTGTTACAAACTAATAAAAGTACCCCACCACACACTCCAGTAACACTGCCACTATTCCATCACTTCCAAACTCCAACTACCCCAAACAGAACCAGTGCGCTCACAGCTCCTCTTCAAAGAAAAGATGGCAGCCTTAACCAGGAGAACTTTTGCACAGCTTTGTGTTTTGTACCAATTGCACCCATTCCTGGACCGATAGGCTCTGCTCACAGTCACTTATACTTTAGTCACCACCCAAGTGGACTAGTGCAATGCGCTTTACATGGGGCTGCCCTTGAACAGTCTCCAGAAGCTGCAACTGGTTCAAAATATGGCAGCGTAGGCAGTTATGAGCATGGCTCAATCAGCACATGCTACGCTTCTGCTCCTGAATTGCATTAGTTGCCAGCATGCTTCCAGGTTCAATTCAGGGTGCTGGTAATGACCTACCAGTACCAATGGAGCTCAGGTTTTTGAGGGACTGCCTCTTCTCAGTTGGGTTTACCCATATGATCAGATGGGACAAATGATGGTGGAGGAATTCTTAAATTTTGCTGCAATGTTAGACAATATTTCACTTATTCATCTGTGGGCTTTGTATATGTTTTTATCTTTCATGGCAGGCTGCCTCAACATCTTCAGAATGAAAGCTCAAGTCTTTCTTGCTCCATAGTCTAAGATGCTCTGGCATTCCTATTCATCTACTGTATATCAGGGATGGGAAACTTTTTAGTGGCCAAGGACCACATTTAATGTTTTTGGAGAGACTGAAAGCTACAAAGTGGATGGGGCTATAGCATACTTGTAGGCAGAACAACATTCTGAAGGGGAGTGTGGGATAGTTTTATTTAACTGCCTATGTTAGGGCTTAAATTGAAGGTTTCATGAGTTTTGAACTTCAAAAGAGGAGGCAGCTATGCAGTCAGTGTTCAGTGTTCCTGATCAGGAGAAGCTTCAAGGGCTGCCAAAATGGGGCACAGTTTGTCCACCTCTAATCAGTATTGAACCATGTTTACTATCAAAGAGAGTAAAAGAGTGTTAACATGGAACCTGTGTTCACTGAATACTGATTCTTCACACAGCTGAATATGATAGAAACGATAGAGAAAATTAGTGCATTCATTTCTCAGGCCATTAACATCACACAGGGGAAAGAACAGGGCCTGCTTATTTTCCTTCTAGGGATCCTTGTCTGCCATCTACACGTTGGGGGGAATCTGCAGAAGACAGAACTAGCAAAGACTTTGCCTCTGCCTCCTTCTGCACCCTCTGGAGACCATGAGGAGAGACCGTGTGTTTCAGAAAGTTTCCCTGCTTCAGACCCTTATTGTCAACATGGGAGATCTGAAACCAGCTGGCAGAGCTGTAGCTAACAAGCAGTATCAGTCATCACCTCTTGTAATATAAATCATGTCAGATCAGAACACCTGAAAAAGACTTAAACTTTTGATAGTCCCTCCTTAAAAGAGCTCAGCCAACTGCGAATGATGTAACAATATTTTATTCTACTAGTTGATAGTATCAAAATATAAATCTAAATTTGGGGTCTCTATATGGCAGGACTTCCTCCATTTGTTACGTACATTGGATAAACTGTATTTCTTAGAGAGTTGTCTGGAAACCTACATGCAATATAAGGATGTAGAACATATAAAACACATAAAACATTATAATTTCAGCTAGAAATAGACAATTGAAAGATTATGAGACTTCTATGTTAATGGATAGGAGTACTAGAGATCGATCATGCTTTTAAAAAGCCATTATTTTCTTATAAGCATTAAACTAAGTGATCCTATAAACAGCACTAAATGTACAATATTACTTACCACAAGGTAAAGAACTGCTGTATTGTGCTGTCTTATTAAACAACCAGTTATTTTTTCTCCAAAGTATGATGGTACCATCTTGGCAGACTTGGGTATAATTTATGTCTTTGTTAGCCCACATTCTGAACATGTACAGTTCCCCAACCATTCCATCTAGTGAAGACGAGGAGCTGCCAGGAATCTGTGAGCATCCAAGCAAAAGCTGCCCATTCCCGGCAAGTGGTCCAGTTTTCATTATTTTTGCACTTCTTTTCTCTTCATCATTTATATATATGCGAACTTCCTGTTGTTCACTTTTCCATCTTATGCATATTTGGTACCAGATGTTGTTATCCAGTTTGCCTGCCCAGGTTATTTCTTTGCCAAATATCCAAACTGTCAGCTTGTCACGTTCTCCAGTAAGCCCCAGATCATATAACTGATGGTCTGATGCTGACAAATTGCCAACAGGATCTTTGCTATAGACGAATGCTGTCCAAGAATTTTTGGAATTGTACAACTTAAGAAAAACGCAGACTGTAAAGTTTCTAAGTGCAGGTATAGAAATTCCAGGCGACAAAGTCCAGATTTCATTACATGGTGTGCTAAACACAGCTCTGTAGTTTAAGAAATCATCCTGAGCTGTAATAATGATAAAAAACTTTTAAAATAATTAGGCACAAAATTATTTGCTTCTATAGCCTCATTAGGTATCCTTTATCTAAAATGAACAAGAGGAAAGATTTTAACCTCAGGAAAATATAAATATCCAGGAAGACAGATATCCATAACACAAAGCCAAGTTAAACGCATTTTACTTTTGTCTGGGAAAAGCAAGGGTAAGAAATAAATGCACACCGAATTTAAGACTGGCTTCTTTTCATTCCAATTTTACAAAATAATTTCTTTCCCAGTACATGGGAAATGTTTAAGTAGGATTTTACTTATATAAACCCTGCAATTCATGTGCATACGGACTTGGGAGATGGCTTCCAGAATCATTTGAAAACAAACATTGCACGTAATGGAACTTGCACAAACTTGTGTTCGAACGTAAAAGTAAAGGCTCCTTGGAGTCAAGTTGGATTTCTGATGACGGATCTGTCCATGAAGTTTTCCTGACAACACAGAATTACTTTGACACTGCCTTCTTCCAGAGCTGTTTTTACTTCCCAGACTAGCCGATTGCCTCGAATATCCTGGTCAACTCCTATCCAAGTACCAATGGGTCCTACTCTATTTATCTTGGCTGGGTTGGGGGAATTCAGCCAAGGCAGACAAGGCGCTAACTCCCTACTGAGGCATATCTGATAGACATGCTAGTCAGTCTACCTAATTCTTTACCTTGATACTGGAGTAGATCACTATTTGGAACATTTCCCTTTAGATACCTGCTTATTGGGACTGCAGAGAGGAGCTACCTTGGTTCTAACTAAGTTTCTGTGAACAGGTGCTGTTCTAATTAAGTCTTTTTCTGGGTGTTCTTGATTTTTATCTGAGTCTTAGGTGTCCATAACTGTATTCTTTTGTTGTTGCTGCTGCTATAATATTCCTCTGCTGACATTTTTGCTGTGGTCCTGTTTGCTGGATTTATTTTAATGACCTTTATTAAGTTTTAAAAAGCAAAAAGATAAAAGCTAACAAGAACTAATAATCAAAAAGAAGAGTAGAAAGCAAGAAAGCAAAGATGGTGGAAAGTAGAGAAGAAAAAGAAAAAAGAAATACAAAAAGAGTAACTTCTGACTTCTTACACAGCAGATATAGATGAATCATATAATCTCTTACTCTAAAACTACATCTTGACATACATATTTTGTATAATCTATTAATTTAACTAATCATCAAATCCATATTTCATAATTTCATTTTTTTCTGTTTCCTGCAAAAAGTCCAAAAGGGGCTTCCAATTGGCATTAAAATTAATCAATGTTTTTTTTCTAAGCAAAGCTGTCAATTTCACCATTTCAGCTAACTCCATCAACTTCACCATCCATTCTTCCATTGCAGGTAATGTCGAATCCTTCCACCTTTGAGCACATAAAAGTCTAGCTGCCGTTACCATATATAAAAACAAAGGTCCATGAGCTTTTTCCAACTGTTTATCCATCAGTCCCAAAAGGAAAGTCTCTGGTTTGGTCTGTATAGTAACCTTCAAATCTTCTGGATTAATATATGTATCTGAGTCCAAACGTTTTTAGCTTTATTACATGTCCACCAAAGACGATAAAAAGTCCCTTCTTGTTGTTCACATTTCCAACATATATTTGAAATCTTAATTGGCCTTTCCTGTTATAAGTTTTAGAAGATATGGATTTTGGCGAGAGTTTTGTAACATCAGTCAGATCGATATATATATCACAGAAAGCACAAATTATCGTCAATGGAGATTTAATGAAGCCATGTGAGATTCAAAGAGGTGCAAGACAAGGATGTCCAGTGTTCCAACTTTTGTTTATCTAGGTCTTGGAAATTTTAAATAGAGATATAAGACAAGATGGGGTATAATGGGAGTAAAAATCATGAAAGAGACATATAAATTGAGAGCTTTTGCAGATGATCTGGTGCTGGTATTAGAAAATCCTCTGAAAGGGATAGAGATACTAATGAGAAAATTGAAAGAATTTGGTGCACTAGCTGGATTTAGCAAACAAAAGACAAAGATGTTAACAAAAAAACCATGAAGATACAAGACCAAATAGAACTGATGAATAAAACAGGTTTTAAGATTGAGAAAAATGTAAAATATTTGGGTGTTAATTTGACAAATATGAACTGTATGCTATTCCAGAATTATGTTAAGACATGGAATGAAATTAAGAAAGATATGTTAAAATGGAAGAAATTACAACTATCATTGTTGGGAAGAATCTCTGTGATAAAAATGAATGTCTTACCTAG